CCCCCTCCCTCTCCCTCCCTCTCTCTCCCTCTCTCTCCTTCTCTCCCTCTCTCCCTCTCTTTCCTTCTCTCTCCCTCTCTCTCCCTTTCTCTCTCTGTCTCTCTCTCTGTCTCTCTCTCTCTCTCCGTCTCCCTCTCCCCCCGCCTCTCTTGCTTGTGCTCTTCGCTTTAACCCTCCTGCTTTTTTTCTGTTTGCACTGTACCAAACAACCCTTTATAATAATTATACAAGATGCTGCCTTGTATCCCCTGCCGAGCCTTTCCTCTGATTTGGGAGTTTAAGAATAGAAACCACAGGGCCAGGGATTTAGCTCAGTGGTTTCGCCGCCTGCTGCACAAGCGCAAGGACCCGAGTTCGATCCCCAGTACCAAAAAAAAAAGAATAGAAACCACAACTATAGGATTGCTCTTTCTTGTGCACTGATTTGAGACATCGACAAAGCGCCATGTTAGTCCCATTTTTCTGCCATAAAAATGAGGCCGCTCCACGGTGTGCACACTTACGGGTAGCTGGCATCAGAACCAGATAAAGCAAAGCAAACGAGCCCTTGAGATGTTGTAGCTACTGTGTGTTTGGAATGTGCGGAAACCTCTTCCAAAAATGTTTGTTAAAGGCACGATTTTCTGCAGGTACAGGTCCCAGATTGACAGCTGCCTACATCTGAGACATGGTAAGCGACTCTGGTCCTGTGACCTTCCTGCCCGCAGAGCCTGTGCAGCGCCGCTCTGAGCGAGGAGAGCGCCACCGAAGCCCTGCCGGCCTTAACTCCACGGCCTCTGTGCCAGCCTGGATGTGCTTTGACCTCTGTCCTCTGCCCCCTGCGTCTGTCTCCACCCACCCACCCCCGCCCCAACTCTTCCCTCTCAGCCATTTCTTACTGACCAGTGGCAAATTTGCCTGCTTACAAAGTGAGGGGCGAAAAGGAGAATTCAGGAACAGACCCCGCAGCCCGGCAGGCCCTGGGGTGCCCAGCCCACGTGGCGGCTGCACGGTGGGGCCTGGAGTGTAGACAGCTGCTTTGCGTCTCATGAGGAGGACTCACGGGCTTCCTGGTCTCCTGTTATTTCCCAACATGGCGTAGAGAGTTATTTGATCGACTGCATTTATTGTGTCCGGGGTTTTCCTTTATTGGTAACCGTGGCTGATCTCACTCTGAGGTCTGCAGCAGTGATTATTCCACTCCTGCGTCGTGGGCCAGCCTGGCCAGGAGCCGGGCTGTGTGCAGCAGCCTGGTCCTAGGTGTGGCCCCGGCGGGGTGCGTGGGTCCCTCTTGGGAAGCCAGCGTCTGCTTGGTCACCAGGTCCCGCCGGCCCTGCCCGAGTCCACCCTCCCGCGAACCGCTAATCGCTGCCAGCGCCCGCCCGGTCTGCCCGGTGCTCTCGCTGTCCCTCTGTCGCCGTGGCCTTGAGCCTGTCCCGCCTCCGGTCCCGCCTCCTGCCTGCCGCCCGCTCGCTCCCGGGGGATTTGCTGTACTTACAACCAGCCAGCACCCTGTGTCCCCACAAGGCTCAGCGTGAGGCTGTGGTCCCCACACTTGTGGCCACCTTCGGTCACTCCTGCCCTCTCTCTTCGCCTTGGGAGAAATGCGGCTCCTGCCCCTAGGACAGGCGGGGTGCATGGCTTTGCTTGGCTCCCAGCCTGGGGGGTGCTCGGTTCCAACTGGACCAGTGACTGCCTGCTGAGCTGGTAAAACTCTGTTCTGGTGCTGATTGCCAAGCGCCTTTCCCCAGGGAAACCTTGCAGCAGGTTAGGTATCAGATCTCATGTTGGTGGGCATCGGCTTGAGCCCTCTGACCTCGGGGTCTGCACCTGTGACCAGCACGGCCGCCACCAGGGGTCCAAGTGCTTTTCCTGAGCCCCGAGCCCCAGTTCCAAGAAGCTCCCCGGGTTTGTCCGATCACATCTGGAGGTTTTCCGAGATCATGGCTCTTCTGAGTGAATCTGATCTAAGGACCCGGCCAACCCCTCCCCGTGTGGCCCAGCAGCTTCTTCCTGGGAGGAGGCCTAGGCCTTCCTTCGGAGGGCCAGTCAGCACATACAGATACACTGTGGAGGACGCACAGTGAATTCGATCCCAGCACCCGGCTGGGTTGTTAGAGGCACAGGAACCGCAGAGTGCCAGTCCTGCCAGGTGCTGCTGGAGAAATTAGCCCAGTGGAAAGAAATCACACGCACATGCTTCGTATTTTTTCTTTTATTTTGCAAGGATGCCATTCTTTTTTGTCACTGACCTCTGGGCCAGCCAGTGGCCCTTGCCACCTCCCACTTCTACATGGAAGGCGCCCAGAAGCACGCAGGGCCCAGGGCGGCACTCGGTACTGCGCCCCACGTTCTGTTTGCAGCAGCCCTAGCCCACTCTTTGTAATAGGAATCACAAAAAAGTAGCTAACATGCTGGTGCACACCCATAATCTCAGCACTGGGGAGGCTGAGACAGGAAGGTCACTGTGAGCTGGGTTCTGTAGTGAGTTCAGAGTCAGCCTGAGCTGCAGAGTAAGATCCTGTCTCAGAAACATACCAAAAATGTATCGCTTCTCGGCCTTTTGGCTAAGATCGTGTGTAAAAACATACCAAAAAAATTCACACAGAAGTGTATTTCAGTACCTGAGTCTCATTCTTAGTCTGGTGGTCTTTGTGACGAACATTACTTAGCTTGACGTCAAAGCTGAGGCTGAGTCCACTTGTGTCTAAAGATGCACTGCACATCTTTTTCTAGTGAGTCCCAGCTGTCCCCGGGCCTTGAGCCACTTGCCCTTTCTGAGGTGAAGGTGTCCTCTTACCCTGTGAGAGGACCCCGGCCGGATGCCCAGCGATCCCCGTGGTGGGACTGGCAGTCCCTGGACGAGAACCTGGAGTGGGGGGAGCCCACATTCCGTTCCCTGTCTCGGGAGGAGGAAGGAGAGCAGCTCCACTTGGGAGCTCAGAAGCCGCTGGACCCCATGGCTGAGCACTCAGTGCATCCTGTGCTCCTGGACCTGCAGACGGCCCCGCACCCGGGGCTGAGGAAGCAGAGAGGGCATGGAGGGCTGCAGGAGGTGACACTGGAAGAGCATGGCTATCCCTGGAAAGTGGAAGCAGGCATCGGCAAGGAGAAAGAAGATAGGAGTGGACTCTGTCCTGGAAAGAACCAGGCGGCTTAGTGAGGCGCAGGCTGGAAAGGAAAAATCTAAAGGGCCAGGAATGCAGCGCCATTTGAAGGCCCTGCTTCCCCAGAGCTGCAGACCTAAGTAAAGAGAATAAAAACCTACCAGGAAGCAGACATGGGTCTCAGGCCGGCCGTGTGTGAACTGCGGCCCGTGCAGAACTTCCAGGTTCCTTGAACCCCCTGGACTCGGGGTTCCTTGTGCACGAGGCCACTGAGACCCTGCTGCCACCCCAGCCAGCCTCTGGGTCCCCAGGCAGATCTGGGATTCGGGCTCTGCAAGGGCAGATGGTCCCTGTCCCTGACCCTGTCCCGTGAGGCGCTCTGTGCCCTGGGCTGGGCGGCCTTCCCTTCCCAACAGTCACCTTAGAGCCAGCCTGGCCTCAGGAACAGCCGAGGGCCAGCAGGTGTGAGGTGGGAACCCAGGCGGAGCCCAGCCAGGCAGGGAGGAAGGCAGACTCCTCGAAGAGGGTCACAGAGAGCGTTTATTCCTCTTGTGCACACAGTGGAACTGACTTCGAGTTCTTAAAAATTCCTGTTACATGAGACACCTCAGTGCTGATGACCCCTGGGCCTGGGTCCCAGCCCTGCCAGCTTTCCTGTTTCCTGTCTCCCGTGAGAACGGCCACTTCCGGTCCTGGGCAGCCCTGAGGAGGTTACCAGCACCTTGATGGGCACTCACAGGATGACTGGGTCCATCAAGCCATTGCCCTGGGGCAGAGGGGCCCCCAGCAAGCAGAGGCCCCTTTCAGCACTGCGGGCCGACTGGGATTTGTGGGCTCGCCAGGAACCCATGGGCCCACGGATTGAGTCTGCTGGAGGGGCTACGTTGTAGACGCCAAGCGTTTGTTTGTTCATTCTGTAAACAGCCCGGGAGCTTCCCTGCAAGTCAGAACTACACTGGGGGAGCAGGTGCTTGCTCAATGGGACTCGTCCCTGCCAGGAGGAGCTTCCAGTCCACGACCCGGACGTCTGAGTGCGTGATTACAGAATGGTGCGGCACTCGATACAGAGACAGAGCATGAGAAGCATGTGGGCCGAGGGAGGTGGAGGCAGCTTCCCGGCGTAGGTACTCACAGCTGTGCTCCTGAGAAAGTCTCGGGCCCAGCACAGCGAGGGAGCCCTGCCTCGTGGTGCGGGGTAATCAGGAGCTGGGACACCTCAGGGTCCATCAGCGTCCGGGGTTGTCACCGCACTAACCCTCCTGCTTCCTGACCTAACCGAGCTATAGGAGGAAAGAACTAAAAGAACTAAAAGGAAAGCAAAGAACTAAAAGCTGACAGGCAGCAGGAAATACGATCCCTCTTAGGCTTACTCACTGCACACCAGCTTCCTAAATCAGGTGATCAACACTAGCAAAACATAAACCACAGTCCACCGTTTCAAAATTACACAGATTGAAAAGATACTTTGATACTTCAACGCATTACTTTAGGTTATAAAATATCAAAGAGCCATTTTAAAAGTAGAAACAAGCTACAAATTTCAGAAGCTAGAAAAATCCTGTCATGGCACACAGAAACACACATAGGTACAGAGACACTCACGCACGCACACACACAGTCCAAACTCACTGCTTTCAGCGTCGGCATAGTCTCTATCTTGCAGACTTGCTAACTAAATGAAGAATTAAACTGTATTTTTTAACCAAGTGAAAACTTCACCCTTACACCGCCTCGGGCTGTAAGCTTCGTGGGCGAGGTAATTGCTAAGTGCAGTGTGGAATACAGTAGTTAATTGTGCAGTGCTTGGATTTACATCGCTTAAAAAACCTGTTTCTGGCTTCTGCCTGATGACTGTGTTTGATGGGGTGCTTGGGGGCCGGAGGAGGAGTCCAGGTTTGGGAACTGGGGCTCCAGGTCCCAGGATGGCAGAGGGAGGATAGAAATGCTGGGGCAGCGGCTGCCTGTCCGGAGCCCACAGGCAGGCTGTCCCGGTGATCCTGAGTCCGACTCACCAGGCCAGGGTGACGCTTTTCCCCAACCCTGGCTCTGAGTTTGCCTCCTGAGGAAGGATGTGGTCACCCATGCCAGGTGCCAGTAAGCTTTCGTTACCAGACAAAGCTAGGCTTTTAAGCAACGATAAACTGGGCCAGGGAGTATAGCTCAGTGGCACCCCGCCTGCCTCAAAAGTGCAAGGTCCTGAGTTTGATCCCCAGTATCAAAAAACCCTCAAAGAAACGATGAAGTAAAAAGGATGTTGGAGGACTCTTGAGGCTTGTCAAGAGCCTCAGAGTAAAAAGTAGGGTGTGGAGGGGCCGGGAATTTGGTTCAGTAGTTCCACCGGCTGCCTCGAAAGTGCAAGAGCCCGACTTCAATCCCCAGTACCAAAAAAAAAAAGGGTGTGGACAGCCAGGAAGTGGTGTCCTGGGTCATTTTGTCCTCTTGGTGACCCACAGGATGCCCCTGAGCAGGGGAAGGTAGAGGGGTTAAGGGTGGGGTGGGGCTGAGGTCTGGGTGGTGACTGTCAGCGTGGGGAGAGCCGGGGACATCTGCCCAGTGGCAGTGGGGCAGGCTGTGGTTTTCATCA